TATAATTTTTAGTGAAGAAATTTGGTATCCAATAAGAACCCATTGTACCTAATTTCATCGGATTCGATTGAAAATACGCGCTTAAAAATCCCAAAAGACCTGAAAATAGAGTTGTGCCCTTATATGGGAGGTATCCGAAAAAGTGAACGTATATTAATAATTTTTAGTAGAGAGATTTGGTGCACAATAATACCTCAAAGTACTAAACTACAGCGAATTTACCTATAATTTGGCACCTCAAATTGTCAAGCAGAATATTAAATATTATTATCGGACTCTTAGTGTATTGTGAGGATGGATAAAAAATGTATTTGAAAGCTTCAACTTATCTTTGGGGGAAACCTATATATTTAATTATAAAAAATAAAGTACAGCTATCCTGAAATGTCTGAATTTTCTAAACAAAACTCCAATCTATTTATTCGCACTACAAAACCTGATGTAAGTCTAAGTAAATTGAGTTTTTTCTTCGTCCAATGCAACACCAAATGTATACTTGTTCTATATACAACCAAAATCCCTCGAAAAAATAAAAAAAAATAATTATTACATCACATTAATTTAAGACTTACCAAAGAAGCTCTTCAGTATTTTTTTAATAAAAAACCCAAACAACTTTCTTTCAACTCTATTACAAAGAAATAGAATGTTACGCATTTGCCTGCAAGTTCAAATGTTATAACATTTGCAAAACGAAACACATAATAGGCACACACACACACATACACATAATCAAATAAAAAGAAAATCCCGTTTAAATGGCTTTCATAAGACATTCTCTTCGAAATGAAAAAAATGATAGAAAGAAAGGCAGCAGAAAAAAGACGCATAGCAAATGAGTCATGACAATAAAAAAGACCGACATACAGTCAGTGGCATTTTTTAGAAATTTGTTAAATAAAAAAACCAACAACTACAACAAAAACTGGCATTTTGTTTGTGAATAACACAAAAAGCCGGGCTCTCTTTTTTCACAAACACACATATACAGCTAAACATAAAGAAAAAACCAACAACAAACTACAAATAGACATTTACATTGAATAATGTTGTCATCACTTTTTCCCAGCCAAACAAACCACACCATCTTTTGAAATAATCACAAAAAAAAACACCTTTAAGGTAATCAGCAGCAGCAACAAACATCGTATCATGGTCTCCGCCTCCCCTTTCCAAAAAACAAAATCAAGTGTCATTCCCAAAGTACACACAGGGTGTCAACCGACAGCTAGTTGTAATAACATTGTGCCGTCTCCCCCCAATACTCCCTTCTCTGCTTTCTTTGTATTCTTCATTAGCTTACAATGAAAAAGAAAACAAAATGTTTTTACATAAATGGAGTATGAAATGAAAATACGTATACCGCAATTAAATAATAGAATTTCACTTTCATTTATTGTTGTTCCCAACACTTAAAAAAATATTACATTGTTCACACCGCTAGGTAAATGACGGTGTAACTGGTTGACTTTGTCTGTCAGCCTTCAAACATGCAGGCGAGCTTTAAAAGCCAAATAATTAATACAATTTGATTTTCCCTTTGAACAATGGAAAGAAAGAAGTAATGAAACATGAAAAACAACAATAATCACAACAACATTGCAAGTGTAATAGCATCATATCATTTATCATTATGTATTGTTGTGTGTGTGTGCACTTTGTACAACTGCTTCTTCTTCTTCTAGTTGGCTCATCACGTCTGCACGTGCAGTCGTCGAGTACAATGCAAAAGAAAGTTTGTTGCTTAAGTCTTTCGTTTTCATCATTGCTTTCATTAAATAAATAAATACATTTTTAATTGACATTTGAATGATTTTAAGTGAATTATATTTCGATGTTCATGGTGTATAATAATTGCGGGAATCTTCATCGATAAGAGTTATTAATTAAATAGCAGAAAAATACATTTAAAATATTTAATTAACATTTCTTTCTTTATCATAATTATGTGAATAGAGTTTTGCAAAAGAGTTTCAGTGTATTGCAATAAAATTGATTTTCCCAGTTAATTATGATAAGCATTGAAATATTTAAGATATGTAATTATATAAAAATGTCTGTGATATTTAAAATGATAATGAAATGCGGGAATACAACACGTTGAGAAACGGTGATGCATGTAATGGCTAAGTATTATCACACTAGGTACCATAAAAGACCTTTACATAGTTTTCACAGTTAATAATGATAAGCATTGAACATTTTGAAATATGTTATTAAATAAAAATGTCTATAATATTTGAAATGATAATGAAATGCGGGAAATCAACACGCTGAAAAATTGAGATGCAAGTAATGGACAAGTTTTTTAAAATAGGTGCCTTTACCTGGTTTTCTATCTATAGATGATCTATGGACAGTCGTTTGGATACAAATGATTTTCAGATTTTCTAACCATACAAAACCCAATAGGACAATTTAAGATTAGATTTAAGATTAGATCTTTTAGAATGAGACCAGGTTTAATCTTTGTTCAGGAATTTTTTGTTTGATCTTAAAGAAAAGATAGTTGTGCTACAGACTCAGAAATGTTTGAAGATATAGGCTCGGTTTAATTTTATTGAGGAATTGTGGGTCCTTTTGAGATGTCAATTTACAGGTTCCTTTTATAAAATATTTCTTATATTAGGGTCCATTGTGATCATATTTCCTGACAATACCGTGGTATCCATGGATTATATCTGGTTCGTAAAAAGTTGTCCCAGATATCCGATGGTTTGATATCCTGAATAGGTCGAAAGTTTACATATATATATATATATATATATATCTAATTGGCTGTAATTTGCTACGTTTAGTACTCATTGGGTATTACATCTTTTAGAATAGGCCCCCTTTATGGATACTCCCAATTATTCAGTATTTTGGAAGTTGTAAACACATTTTTAAGCAGAAATTGGTTTCTTGGATTCACATTTAATATCAAATCTACCTAGAAACCAAGCTCCCTTCTGTGTGGCCTGTGTTGTGATGTTCGGCTTTCAATTGAGGCTTATAGATCGACTCGGAAAAAACACAGAAAATAAGTTTTCTGTTCAATTCATCCCAAAATTATTATCCGATCATCAACGATAGTTATAGGCGTTATCCATGACCATACCTGGATCCTCATGGAAAATTTCAGCGCTATATTTCCGCCATCTAGTGTGGTAATGGTTTACTATATAATAGTAAATACGCAAGCACCTGCAAATATTTAAGTGTAACTCCCACATCCGATTACATACGACAATATAATTGGTATCAATTTAAAGGTCAACCACTCCTCTTGGATACACTTTCAACTTCTCGGGTCTATGTTCTTCAGGAGTAAATATATACGCCATTGAATACAAATTTTGACATTTTTCACGCAAAAGTCAGGGTCCTTTTGACCCGCTAAATATTGACCGATGTTTATCAAAACAGGCATGCTTTTTCTTTGGCCCGATCCCCTTCTCCTTGCAAAAATTCGCGATGTTTGGGCCATAATTGCGGCCTCTGGAGCGACCAGAAAATCAGACAAAAATAAAGTTTTTGGTCCATTTATACCCCTAAATATTAACCGATCTTTACCAAAAACAATAGGTGTCTTCATATGGCCAAAACCCACCCTACATGCAAAATTTCGTGAAGATTGGTCCATTACTGTGGCCTGTATCGTGTTTACAAGTTATAATGGACAGACGGACGGACGGACACACATGTCTAGATCGACTCAGCTAGTCGAGATATGACGATCGGTATACTTAAAGGTGGGTCTAGGTCCAATATTTCGCGGCGTTACAAACTTTTGGTGCTGCACAAAGCTATAATACCCTGACAACATAGTTGTGTAGGGTATAAAAATTATCAATATTGGCTTATTTTTCATGGTTTTTCTCATATAACGGTTTTTACAATTGAAAAATTAGAAATGCGTGCATTCATTGAATTTTCGAACCGTCCTCGGAAAAATTGATATAACCTCACATAAAAGTTCCACTTCCTTTTTGGTATTAATATATTTTTAACCGAATTTTTTCATGGGAGGGGTAATAACTTGACATATCGTTGAATAAAAATTAGATTAAAAAAGTCCCGCTTAAGTTTTCCAATTTGAGTAGAGTGTCTGTAATAAATATCCCGATCGACTTAAGAATTTTTCAATTGTTTTCCTACTGAATTGATTACAGTTTTACATGTTGGGTTCAGAAATTTCAATGTTGGTCCAACCTTAAACATAGCCTTCAGTTAACTGTTTCCTAGACTTGTGGTATTTTGGAAAAGTTTTCCATCAAAATTGGATATGATGTGATATTATATAAGCTCAACTTTACTTAGCTCAATATTAGATATCACTAAGGGAAGATTAGCGGAATATAGTTACGAGTAAAACGTGAAGGTGCATTAAGTTTTTATTTCACCGATAATAACATTAGGTTCAGCTTGGTATAAAAGATTTCATGTCATTCCCATCATCTGCATAAAAAATACACTTTGGTTCAGAATATAAACGATATTGCCTAGTTTTCACTACCAAATTATACATACAGACGATATCGTTTATAAAGACACCGTTTTTTTTATTGACGTATCGGTTATAGTGACGGTATTCAAAGCTGCTATAAAACGTTCTGGACTTTATCTGGTAGCGTTTAGCGACTGCCTCTTGTAGCGACAAATTTCACCGGTTCCTTAACAGTCATTATAAGCAATTTCGACTGTATATATATTTTTTCGAAATATGTATCTCAACAAAATCTTTATTTTTTTCTCATTTTATTAACAACTTAAATGTTACATTGTTATGTTTTTTATTAAAGTTTCAACGAGGCATTAACATTTTAAGAACCCAGCGGATTGGTAAACATTTTAATGTCCCTTTTTGTTTACAACAGAATAATTTAACTGAAAAAATCAACAACAACTTAATTATCTTTGCATGTTACATTACAAAAAAAAAAAATACTTAACCAACAGACTGCTAATTTTCATTTCATGTCTGTCTTTTGTTGTTGTATAAAATTCTAGTTGAAAACATGAAAATTGTTTACACAAAGTCATGCAATTCAACTAATCAAGCAACCAACCATCCAGCCAACCACCACCATTCGACCATAACCGCATCATCATTGTCAAGGTAGCTGTTATTCTGTACTAAAATAACCGTTATCAGAACAAGAAAGAAACTTTTTTTATATATTTTCATATTTCACATTCTTTGTTTTTATCCACATTTATTAATTGTTTCTTCCTCTTTTCTTTTTTCAATTGCAGATTTTCGCGTTATTCTGTATAGTTGTCTTAAATGCACACACCACATACGCCTCTCTTTGGTCAAATCTTAACAAAGAAGCTGCCCCACAACAGTCACTGCCAAGATGTAACGGTGCTAAAGGTCTGAAATATTTGTCCGGTGATGCATTAACAGATTCAATGGATTGCATAGGACCAAATAATGCTCCATATCCAAGGTAGGTGGAAATTTACAATTTATAATAATTTATAATAAAGGGAAAATAATATTGTAATAGGAATAGGATTGAAAAATAATCAATGGAAGCTAAATGTTTCTATTCGGAGCAAGCTAAACCATATATGACGCACGAATAGGAACACTTCACATTACCTTGCAAATCTTTAATCAAAAATCGTGATTGTTCTCACAAATATAGGAAAAATTTTAATAAAAAATAAGAGACGTTATCTCTGAAAATATTTTACTAGAGAAATATGACAGAGTAAAAACGATAACTTGGAATGCCAACATCTGAATTGTCATCAAATTTTGACAACGGTTTCACTTACCATTAGGTCTGTGAAAGAATAGTCGACCAATTGTACATGATTAGGAGTCCGATTCGAAAAAAACTGTATATAGCAAAAGCAAAAGGACAACACATAGTACAATAATACAAGGAGGACAACTTGAGGTGAATAACAAAAAAATGAACTCTGTAAGCAGTGGCTTCTTCTGTCAAATACAAAAAAAAAAAAAAAAAATATGCAAGTATTGATTGTGTTTATTTCACGTATGGTTATGGTTTCTTCCGATATGGTCGATAGCGACCTTTTGAACTAATTCCATCAGAAGAATGTGAAAATATTCGCCACAAAGTAAAAAGTTACACCGATCACTACTTGGATGGCTGACAAAATAAAAGAAAGAAGAGCAGATCTTAATAGCATACATATAGATCATTCTCATTCTCATTTGTTCTCTTTTCCTATGTAATTTTTTGTGATAAATTCTCAGTTACGCTCACCATACTAACTTTCAATTTAGGTCTGCACAACACTAATATAGATGCTCGTGCCCAGGCTGTGGGGAACTATTTCCTATCCATAGCAGCAAAGAAGCATAGTACCTCGATGAGTAGTCTTGGCACAACCGTCTCAATCATACTGGCATTGATACGAAATGTAATCTAACACATGTCCAGTATGAAGACTAGGACTATACGTTACGTTGCACATGTTTTACTGCACATCTGAGCCTACTCATCGGTGTCCAAATTATTTATGGACGTAGCCAATACAGGTTCCGACCAGTCTGAATTTGAAAGCAGATATTTGATAGCAAGTAACAAGTACGTCGTATTACAGTTGCTATAAAAATATTTTGGAGTAAATCGGCGTTTAGACTATGGATTTTCTCGTGATAATATGAATTAAATCGAGCTGAATTTACCTCGATTTACAATAAAAAATTTTATTCGCTCATTATTTGCTCACAATCCTATGCTAAATCAAGATAATTTCAAAGCCTTACTTCTCCTTTCGACTTGCTTGAAATTCTGGGCAAAAATCGAATTAATTTCAAATAAAACACTGTTTTAGCACCAAAAATGCATAACATTTCCTAAAAGTACCAATGTTGTCATTTGTTTACGTAAACAAATATCAGCTGATTGACAAATTTATTTTTTTATTTCCCGATTTACAAATCGATTCGATTTGGAAAGTATAGTCTAAACGTTAAAATACGTACTGATTTAAACTATGTAATATAAGATACAACCCTGTATGTGATGCTTTGTTGTAGCAGATGTAGTCAAGGCGCGTTTAGACTATAGCTTTTATCGTGATAATGTGCATTATCTAGATAAATTTACCTTGATTTACCATAAGAACACGTTTAGACTATTAAATCCATTCGATCTCAAATGTATTTGACGTATATGCTATGGAACTGACATTTGAGATCGAGTCTATATCTTGATTTGCTCGAAATCATATGCTAATTCGAGACAATTTCAAATACAACTCTTCTTTTACACCAAAAAAATAACAATTTATTCTAAATGTATGCATGAAAATACGTTAACATTCGAATGTTTACATTGTACCGAATTTAGAACACAATGGTTTTAAATTGTAAATTCCATTGTATATTTGTGTTAATATGAAATAAGTTATAATGAAATAAATTAATTTATAATGAATATTACTATAATTTAAAACAACAAATGATTTAATTAATTTTTGACCTAATTGAGAGCAATTCCTATCAAAATTATGAAAATATTGATTGATAAATTGCCACAGAAATTATGAAACCAGTGAAAACACTGTAATGTGTATATATATGTAAACAAACAACAGCTGACAAATCAATTTTATATAATATTAATAATAGCTAAACGGCTAGAATTTGGTACAATTTTCTAAACGCTCCTTCGATTCAAACACAATAATATAAGATTCAACTCTGTATGTGGTGTTTCAAATAATCTTTAGTAAAACGGGTCATGTAAATTGGTACATTGAAGAAGTTTTGATTTTTATAAAATAAAATGCTTATTTAATTAAATAGGTAAAATACATATCTAAATTTGTAATAATTACACGAAAAACTTTCTGCTTGTATTAATATTTTAGCAAAAAAAAAAAAAAAATGGTGGAAAGCCAAAATCGAATTAAAAATACCATTAAATACCAGAAAAGTGCGTTTACATTTACGATTATTACCATGATAATCTCTGTATTGTGATCTATTTAGCATGAATTTAAATAAAATATACCTCAAATTAATCATGACAATTCAATCGCGGCAATAAATGTGAATGTAAAAGCATTCACGCATTATTGAAAAAAGATTACATTTTACATAAGTGCGTAATAACAGACATTATTTAAATCTACAATATCCGCATACGTAATAATTTCCCTATTTTATATACTACTAATTTTTCACCTTTTATTTATGTTTTTCATTTTATTGTCATTATTTATTTTAGTGCGGCAGTGGCGCGGACATTTGCCAATTGGAACGGAAATACAAGACGTGGCCGTCAAACCAAATTACCCACAACATTAGATCCATCGATTACAACCAGTGCTCTGTTGAGGGCATACAATGAAGTCAACAATGATGATATTGATAGTTTTAGAGTTGGTAAGTTAAAATGAAATGAAAATATTGTTTAAAAATGTTACAACCTTTTTATAGAAAAATATTCAAATAATTATAAAAAGGGGCAAAAAGTAAAATTTAAAAGTAGAGAAAACATTTAATTATTACTTTTATTTTGACCAAATATAAACTTGCAACATGATTGTCATATTAATTAACTCAAAGTTTATAATCGCCAACATTTTGATACAGCAAATCCACCTCTAGTCTAAATAACTAGGATTAAGTACGTCGATTTAGAAATCGGGTCAATTTAATCCTAAACGCGCCTTCAATCATGATAATATTTGGTCTGTTCCCGTACTACTAGAATCTACTATTTTTTACTGCGATATCATTTTTTCTTTTACGATATGGAAGAAAATAGTAAACGTTTGTAGATTCTTGCAGTACGGAAGCATACCAATTATCTTTACCATACAAAAGTATGGTAATGTATCACTATCACTGTACTAATAAAATACAACACTGGTTTTATACGAAATGTCGAAATGTAATAATGTCATCCATCTGCCTCTCAAATTTCTGTTAAAATCCATTGTTTTGAATTGATTTCCCTTATGAGAACGTAAACAAAGTCAAAATTTTTGACATTAGACGTGAGAACAAACAGCTGGCTTTCACTATCTGGGTATCCTTAATAATAGACCTTGAATAAATATAATCAAGTATATATGTATATGTAAACAATCATCAGCTGACTGAAATTGAAGTCATCTTAAAGTAAGTTTAAACGGTTAGTGTGTGTTTCAGGATTTCGTGTCGATTTAAAATGGTATATATTAATGTATTAATTTAATTTTAATTAATTTTGAAGACGTATTTATTAGTTTTGCAATATTTTATTAGCAACATAAAACTGTTGTGACCTATTAGCTCATTGCGGGTTTTCTTAAATTGCGGTTAACTGATTGTTCAACATTCTACCATTTATACTTCCTATTCTTATCACACTCTTTAAGTAATTGATCATTATTTTCAAATCACAACAATTGTTTTATTTGTTACTATTTTTCCACTTCATTCGATCGTATTTCTGTCGTCGCGTTCTACATGAGAATATGCTAATTATCTTAAGAATCTAACCACTTCAACAGTAGCTGTTGGCCGGGACACATAGAATATTTATGTATGTCAGCATAATAACCTACTTTTTTAATGGCAATAAAACATCAATCAGTTATAAAGATAAATTATGGTTAAAAGGTGTCGTATTATAATTTTGCTAATGTAATTCTACTGGAAGTGGACAATTATATTTATATATTTATTAAGGTTATAATTGCTAATTTCACGTACTGCTTTATTTAAATAAAAGAGAAAATCAAAGTAAAAAACATTTTTTTCATTTAAATCGACTCGTTTAACGAAATTCAAGAATGTCCCAGTTAGACATATGTATATTGAGAGGGTCTAAATACCGGTCAGCTGATTATTGTTTACAAAACAATTTCTATTAATAGAAGATTCTTGCTGGAATAGAACAATTTTATATTTCTAATAGTACATTTACATTGTACTGTGTTCCGTTAACCCATTGGGTTCAAATTGTCAATTCCATTACATATTTGTCAAATAAACGCTCATAAAGAAGATTAAAGTAAAAACTTCTAATGTACGATTTATAAATCTTTAGTTCATATATATTAGTCAATCAGCTGATATATATTTACGTTTAATAGTTCTATATTAATTATGAATATTTTTACAGCCGCTGCCTATTTTGTTAGACAAATATTTTCAGTTTTAACGGAATTGGAATTTAAAAGTAAACAAGGGACTTTATAGTTCAGTTCCAAAACATGAGAAATTCGACTATACTTTTTACTCGACATCCGTTCCTGAGCCCACAAATTAGTAAAATGTTCAACCAGATTTAATAGAACACAAAAAATTGGCTGTTCATCACTAGTTTCCCGTTCGTATTATTTTGTACTCTGAGATCTTGACATTTTTAGTATTAAAATTTTGGTGCTCAGTAAGTTCTAGTTCACAGAGTAAGCCGTTTTTACTCTCTTTTGTGATAGTACTGAGAAAAGTAAACAGACAACATTTAGTAAGATTTAGCAAATAAACAGCTGATTCAAGAAAACATTTGACTCGCACCAAAATAAACAAACACAATTATATGTATTGCATTTTGTTTTTGTTTTCGATCGTTCCCACGCCACTCTTAATATTAAAAAAATGAACAATAAGAGAAAAATTGATTTGGTATGTTCCCCGGAAACATTTAAGCTTCATGTCTGGAACTTGCCTAAAAATATATAAGGAATTAGTTTCTAATTTAATGAAACTTTGCATTACTTATGAATTTTCTTCCATCTTCTGTAATTTTTATACAGAAGATAATTTCAAATTGAACTTTGCTAATTAAAAAAATGTTTTGAATAATTTTTGTGTTTGGTCATAAAACAGCTGATCCAAAAGTGGCTGAGTTTGCAAAATTTTACTGCATAAAATTCTTTCTGTAAACTCCAGTTAGTTTGTTGTTGTTCAACTGTCAAACTTGCTCCCTCACTTGACTCTCTTTTACTGGATTTTTGTGTAAACAGACAACATTTAGTAACAATTGTTACCAAATATGGAGTAAACAGACAGAGCTACTATTAACAAAAATAATACACTTTTTTGTACAAAAACAGTGTTGAATATATTTCAAGCAGCTGTTAATTTTAAATTTTGATCAAAATAAGTCTAAAAAGAACATTTCAAGCACTTTAAATAAAATCACGAGATACTTTGCAAAAACTTACTAGATGTTGTCTGTTTACTTTTCTCAGTATTGTTGCAAAAGAGAATAAAACGGCTTACTCTCTGATATAGAACTTACTGGAAAAGTAACCAAACACAACTAGTATTTCGATCAAATCGAGATAATGAGTGAATTTAATCTTATATGGCAAAGGAAGAAAAACTTAGCTCGAATTAACAATTAAATCGAGATAATGCACATTAAAACGATAAAAGTTATAGGCTAAACGCGCTATTACTAGTTTTCGTTCAGGTAATTCTTATTAAATTATTCTCCCATTACTATTTTCACATTTTTGTATTTTACTATTACAAAACATTAACTGAAACCCATTTCAACTTATCTTTAACGACATTTACATTATTTCAGGGTTAACCTACTTTATGAGTATTTTTTTGACAAATATGCAAAGGAGTTAACAATTAAAACCCACTGGGTTAACTAAATCCGGTACAATGTAAACCTAGAGTCGATATGAATGGATTAAATTTATTTCTGGCTTTAGTAAATCGAGATCACTTGAAATTATTGGTGTAAACTGTGTCATATAATCTTTAAGCCTCGTGGAAGCGAAAACACTTAAAATGTGTTGCATACTTATAGGCGTTTTTATAATTTGACAAACATTGAAAGGAAAATGTTTTAAAATTGTTGTTAAATGACTTTAATTTCTTTATGAAATATCAATACTTAAAAATATATAATATATTCCTTACATTTTTTGTTTATAGGTCGTTCAGCCAAGCAAACACCACAAGTTGATCAATGCCGAAGCACACCAGCCCGTTTGTGTAAAACACGTTATAATACAACGGCTCCCATGTATGGTGTCAGTTTGACCTCTGGCCAGCCTGTTACAATTGTTCAGAAATTCCCTGACTTGTTGCAGCAAGTAGTTTTCGAAGTGTGCGAGTAAGTCAAGAAAATATTTTAATATTAACATAGATTTTTTGAAATTTACACATTTATTTTATTCTTCTTTCTTTCAGATCATCAGAATGTGATGTTGTCCGGGGTGAATGTACCCAAACATATGTGCCTTATTTATTCTTGGTTATACCCTTGGGTCCAGTTACACTTACCGGTCAAGATTATGTATTGGTCGAAAGTGGTTGTGTTTGTAAGCCCAAATATTCGACAGGAGCTGCCCAGGAACCCAATATGATACCATAGATAACACAACTAAATAGAAACCCAGCATTATTTTCTTTTCAGTTAATATTACACAACTACCGGTACCATAACAAACATTTTGAGTAGGCCTTCAATCGAATGTACTTAACGTGACGTTCACAAAAGTACCACAAAACATTATTATTTAAGATTGCCTTTCATTCTCAAAATAATATGCAAACAAACAAATTAGGTTTTTGTACTTCCTTTACAACGAAGGGAAATTATTATTGTTATAATTTCATTGTTTAATAAGAAAGTATACAAAAAAGAAACACTGAAATATTTATGTGTACATTTATAATATTTATATATTACATATTTTATGTATACAAATCTAGAATTTAAGTTATCTACTCTTCAAGCTTCTCCAAAAAAATAATTGGAAGTTTTTTTTAGATATTACTATATTATTAAATACTAAAATTAATAATTTTTTCTATCCTGTTCTTGTTATAGAAATCTTTTATTTATTTCTTTCATTTCTATTTGTTTCCAGTTACGACATTTTTCAATACTCCGTGTCTCTCAAATATAGAAAATTTCATTATTTTCTCAATGTCTTCCCTCTAATATTGAATAATGTCGTTTTTGGAAAATGAAACTAAGTATATCCTATATTTAACTTATATATTTATATAAATTTGAAAAAAATTATATAACATTTTTTATATAATTTAGCAATTAGAAATATTTATGTATAAGTAAGAAAAATGAAAACAAATACCACAAGTTTGAAATTAATATCTAAAACACAGTGTTGCATTTATTTTGTAAATTAAACGAAACGATATATAAGATAATCAATAATTTATTAAATAAAAATAAATGAATTGTGTTGAAATAAAATAAATAAATGTATTTTGTACTTTATTGGATTGCAGAATACAATACAATGATTGGTTTTGTGCGAAAAAATACATCGTGTTATAGTTGTTTTGACCAGTATTAAAACGTAATATTACACTGGTTTTAAGATCATTTAGGAATGACAGTCAGCTAATCATTGTTTATATATACTCACACTTGTTTACAAAAAGAAACAAATTGTTATCGACATTCTTAATCTAAAAAATACGATTGTATTTAAAATTTTTATTGGAGTATGATATTTATAATTGCATTTCCCGTATGTATATTCGGGTTTCTCTTAAATGAATGTCATCTGAAAAAGACAAAATCATTTCAGCAGCTCAGTGCACATTTCGGTTAACTCCAAAAAATTTAATCATGATTAAAGGCTGAATCAGGGTTTATTTTCTTAATCAGGCTAAATTTACCATGATTTACCACACACATTTAAATTTATTTTAAATCATGATCGAAATCATGATACTTCTGAGATGCAACGCGCGTTTTGTACGAACGAATACAACTCTCTCACAATGTACCAAAATTTGCAACTGTTTTTACATGCCGTTTTTTTTACATTTAACGGCTGACAAATACAAAAATGACAGATCAAAGGAAAATAAAAATTAATTATAGAATTTTTGTGTTTTTAGGTGTTTTTTTTTTATGAACGATCACAGTATTGCAAAAACATTTCCATTGTGGTAATTCTTGTATTCTTTTTCAAATTGCAAACAAATATTTTTGGCGCAAATTAATAATTTTGTATGTATACTAACAAACATCAGCTGATCGGAATTTAGATCATGATTAAGGGTATGTGTAAACAATGAGGTTGTATTTCTGGATTTCGTTAATCGAGTCGATTTAAAATCGTATATGTAAATGTACTTTAAGCTTATGCTCACATATTACCAACATTTTTTTTATTTTGACAACCCTTCATTGTCAAAAGGGATTTGACAAACTTATATGTATGTGTATGTAAAAAATGTGTATGTAAAAAATATACACATTTCTCAGTTTAAAAAAATAATTTCACAAATTGTTAAATGTAAACGTACTACAATTAATTTCATTTAATATTATTTTTTTGAAGCAATGAAGACCTCGATATGCAATGACGTTCAGCAGCATTAAAAATTAAGATCTGAACATTCATGTTTCTAAATAAAATTAACATCGATTCCTAAACAACAACGGCTGTAGGTTTTTTTGTTATTGCCGGTGTTTTTATACATATTGATGGTCTTATAAAAGAAATGACAGCGTTTATAAAATGGATGGAAGTGTTCATAAAAAAATAACTAGCTGAATGTGTTGTTTATAGACTAGACAAACGCAGTATTTTTGTAGAAGAATGGACGATCTTCTATAGGCCAGTTGAAGGCAGTTTTCTAGACGGTCTTTAGCTCAACCATAAAAGATCTTATTCTAGTGATCTTTACATATTTTGAAATGTATATTCTCCTTAACATTACACATTACATAACTGCATTTTTTTAAAATATTTTTTAAAAAAGATCTTTAATTTATTTAAATTATGTAAACTAAGCACCTATAAAATCATTTACTGATAAAAATTTTTGAAAAAATCTGTAAAATCTATCAAAATTGTCAAACATTTGTACAGTACACCTTAGATTCAGAAAATAACCCTTATTATAGAAAATAAAGTTCCGAATGCACCATAAATTGCTATAATTAGTATAAAACTTTATAATATTCTAAGAATAAATAAATATTTGAAATAAAAACTGAAAAAATGGGAATTAACCTAAAACAACGACTCAATTTCGATAGCCTTTATTGAAGAAGGCCGGAATATTTTTGCAGTATGTGAGGATATATCGATTGATATTGGCATTTATTATATCAAATCGATTGTTCGAGTAGTACAGAATATATTTTATCAAAAAATATATCAGTCACAACAGAACGAACAGAGATCAACACCTATGTTGACGAGAAAACGTTTCTGGTACACAGCAGCATGTTTGATGGTTAACTCTTGACCCTTAAAATCTATTGAACATGACAATATTTTTCCAAAATAATATTTTTTGAATAGAATAATGCCCATTTAATCTATTTTAGCCTAAAAGAAAGAACAAAATTTACAATTTGACAAATATTTAAAGTCTTGTGTTGAGCATCAAAAATGCTGCTGTGTGGCAGAAACTTTTACTCGTCAACATAGGCGTTGATCTCTGTTCTTTCTGTTGTGACTGGTATATTTTTTGATAAAATATATTCTGTACTACTCGAACAATCGATTTGATATAATAAACGCCAATATCAATCGATATTTCCTCACATACTGCAAAAATATTCCGGCCTTCTTCAATAAAGGCTATCGAAATTGAATCGTTCTTTTAGGTTAATTCCCATTTTTTCAGTTTTTATTTCAAATATTTATTTATTTTGAGAATTTTTTATTGTTTTCTACTAATTCTAGCAATTTCTGGTGCATTCGGACCTTTATTTTCTATAATAAGGGTTATTTTCTG